GTTAACTTATATTACTCTGGCATATCTGATTTCTCATGTAGTTTAATATAAGAAAAACTAGAAAAATATTTTTTATCATAACGTCTCTACAAACACACATACAAATATATTTGTGCATAAATTCCAATTTTATTTTATAACAAAACATGATATATTCAAATGAATGAAAACATCTTTGTTCATATAAGTCTAAGTTAGAGATTTCAGCCCAGATAAAAATGATCCTTACTTGTATATCTCTAATAAAATTCAAAAATTAAGGTATCTTATGAATTCATTTGACCAACATGTGAGCCTGTCAGATTTAAATGAACATGCTCCAATTCATTCAAAATAAGCAAGGTCACATTAAGGAAAATATCCTCACTTCATATAATCCAAACAGAGTTAGAAACTTTTTTTTGTTTTTTTTGTGTGTGTTTTTTTTAACCTGGGGGATGAATATATGATACTCAATATATGGGAAAGTTTAAGAAATAACTTTGTCAATTTTGTATCTGTACACATTTAAACTGTAAACATTTCTAAGCCTCTCATTATATAAAACTCAGTGTTTCTTCTTAAACTTCAAAATATATAAATTCTTTCAGAGAAAATTTAAAAGATTTTAGTTAGCAATCTGATTTTTCTCAAGTTTCATAAAATTTTGATGTTTAAAAATATATACTAGAGTTTACTCAGATTTTGCATATATTATGCTATCCTAGAAACAATGTCAAATCACAAACAATACATTTAACTGACAGTTCATTTTATTTTTCCATATAAGAATGAATCACATTTGCATGAAAGGTTTCCTACAAGATCCATAGCTCTCCCTGTGGCTTGATAATATGTTTTCAAATGGCATTGCACCTGTTTTTATACAAACATCTTTGATGCCTAGAGTACCCAATGTGTCAGGGCATTGTCAGAGAAATAGCGCATGACAAACAGCTTAAATGGATGTAATGAGATATGCTCCATGACTGAGCACCCAACACAGTAACCAGATAGTTCTCAGATGAGACATGCCTCTGCATGATCAATGTGCCTTCCACACTTTGCCAATCTGATGTGCCCTTTGGCCATCTGGATTATCGCTTGGATTTCTCACACACCTCAGTGAGTACTTGTCTATTCCATCTCCTGATCTGTTCACACTTTGAGGAAAAGTTCAAACATCTGACTCAAGATTCTCAATTTTCCCTCATGCATGCATGAATGAGTAGGCTAAGTCATGAATTCAAAAAATCTTTTTTGATTATTGGTTTAATATGAATTAATTTTTTTCACAAACATTTCACAATTTTGTGTTTTCGTGCACCTTCAAATTACACTAGTTAACTTTTTTTTAACTACAATTGTATTCCAGAGTGGTATTTGTTGTTGAAATTTCCATTTGTAGCAATCCCAGAAGCACCATTAAGAGAAATTCATGAACATAATTAAGGAAAAATCCTTTTGAATGCTGACAGTTTTATGGCCATTGGGTTTGGCACGGCTTATTCAATAGGATAGTTATTCTTTACAATTAATACATCGATTCAGAAAACTTTTTGGTTAAGTGTTTTTAGTGCAGCTGATATTCTCTCTAGTAGAAAGAAGTGACTCTAGAGACCTCATAGACCAGATAGACTGAAGCAGAAACCTCACTCTCAAGTGGAAGCGAATGAGTATGTATAGCTCTGGACTGTGGCATCACTGGGCACAGTTGCTCTGCTTTGGCTGGTACTCAGCTTAAATGTTTCTTCCTCTGGGAGGTTGTCTCTGAACTTCCCAAGCCCATTTAGCTTCTTTATTATATTTTGCCTATGTCATTTTTATTCATAGCACCTCTTATATCACCTCAAATACATGTAGCTTTCTCTCTTTTTTAGGATCAGAGCCCTTAGACTTAAAGGGATATGGGTTCTATATCTGTATCTTCAGTATCTTATATGACTGGCACATAGTACAATACGTGTATGCTGGTTAAATAATAATAATATTCTTGAAGCATATGACTTGGAGTTCCCTGCTATAAAAAGGAATTTGTATGAAGCATTCAGGTTTTGAGTCTGATCAACGAGGGTGCGCATAGATGTGGCTCCTGGGTAACAAAGACTTGGAAAGAAGGCATCTGTGTTTCTGATTATCACCTTGTGACCCATGTTCCAACTCAAGGCAAGATGAAATTAACATTGCCCACGGAAAGAATGATAAAGTTGAGAGTAAAGGTGTTCAGAACTCATTAAAGCAGAACTGGCACTGATTATTTTCCGGCACCACCATATACCTTTGTGATTTAAGCTATGCCGACATCTCTGCTTCCCAACTGAATTGATACCTAGAGATGCCTTGTTACTGGGATGATGTCACCTTCAATGGAAGAACTTTTATTTATGTGAATTCTAAAATCTCAAGTTAAATATGAAAATATTTGTTTTCAAAGCAACAAAAATAATTTTACATATTCAGTTAGAGCAACCTGTGAGGGTAAGTAGTGTCTAGAACTAGTGAGATCAGCAAAAACAGTTTATTTACTAACCTGTTCAACATTACAAACAATCCTTCATTAGTCGCCACTATCTATATGCATATGTCCTCCCTTCAACTCCGACTTGTTGCCCATCCACTTTCCTCCATGGCCATCTCTACTGCTGGAGTCAATATTCACACACAGAGAACCCATCGCCTAGAAGGCTTTACAGCAAGATTCACTATGTTCTTAGTCTTGAGTTGCATATAGATGATCTACATAATATTTTTTGTACTTTTTACCAACTGGTTAGTCCATTATTTTAAATTTTTAATGAACTCTTAATACATATCTTGGTTCTTTAGCAAATTATTATGCTTTAAGGTGCCAGTGTCCTCAGGACAAGAGGTCCTAACCTAAGGAAAAGTTAATTATCACTTTCAGCAGTGATAATCAACATTGATGTAGCAATTTCTGTTTACTATAACCATGGCCACCCACTTGTGGGATCTGAAGCTACCCATCCCCACCCACCACCCATGAGCTATCTCCTGCATCTGCAGTCACTGTGCTACATAAACTGAACTGAAGCCTCTATCCTCAAAGCCTGCAATCACCACAGTCCAATGGGGCAAATTTCCCTATCCACTATGGCCGGTACCCATCATCCTCAAAGTGACTGTTGATGCTGGAACCTCATTGCTGCTCATCCTTACCATCATCAGTAAATGAGGAAAGTATCAACCAATCATGTGTCCTTCTCAACATACAATTTATACTCTACTGCTTGACCATGACCATAAATTTCTGTACTTCCTAGCCCATATGACTACAGCTTCCTTTCCATGCCAACAACTACTTTGATTACTCCCACGATGACTACTCATTGATTCCATTGAGATAAAACACCCTTTCTTCACTTCTTTCCATACCCACCTTACATTCCAGAAAGCTTCATTTGAATATTATCCTCAATTTCATTGCCCTTAGGAGTTTTCATCACCTCAATTTAAAAAATCCCAACCTGCAGGAGTTAAGCTGTGTTGTCCGCTTTTTCTATAATCTAATACTGAGATAACAGAGCACTAATAAATAATATCACACAACAGAGAGATTCAATTCTCATTTAAATATGCAATCACTAATCACTAAGTAACCCTAAAACTTCCAGCAATACAACCACTAAATTGACATCTCCCAGATATAACAAAGGCATCCAGAACTCAACATTTCCGAACTTAATCTAGGAAACATTTCTCATAAATTTGTTCCTTTCCCAGTATTGTTTTTCAGTAGATGGGTCCACATTTTATCTAAATATGAAAACTATAAACCCTGCAGTCATCCTAGGAATTTCCTTTTTCTAACCTGCAACCTCAATTCATCTCAACTACTTGTTGATATCATGTTTTAAATATCTATCATTTCTATCCTATATCTTGCTTGGCATTGGTATTAAGAAACTTGCAATTTTATAGTTATCAGTATTATTATCTGATTATCATCTGTAAATTTACTAGAATATAAGCCCCATTGAACCAGGATTTTTCAGTCCATTTTTACTCATTATTTTATCTCTAGCATTTTGCAGTTTTTTGTGGTTTTTTTTTACTTACAGTGAGCACTAGATAAATATTTTCTGAATAAATAGGTGAACGAATAAATGAATACAAGTAAATGTATGTATCACAATAAACATATTATGTATGAATCAAGTATTCATATCCTTACCATGTAAGAGAAAATCGAAAGCTTAACAAACATCAATTAAGCAGAGAATTATGAGTTTGGAAGTAAATTTAGGTCATCTCCATTTAACTAACTTCAACTCTTAAGGATCTTTCCACTTTAGCACCATGATGCATATCAACCTCATGCAAAACCTTTTTATCCATTGCATTTTTAATTTAGACTCAGAAAAGTATGACCCATTCTTAATGTAATTATCTATGGATATAGAGAATAATTCCCGTGGAAGGCATTCTAATGCTTTTAAAAACACACCATTCACTGCAAGTACTTTCAAAAGAAATATTTTAATTTTGTAAAATGAAAAGTTTCTATAGTCAGTACTCACAATTAAGATTGGTACCAAACTGTATCCAAAGCAATCATCATGTGAAAGGAAAAGGAATTAGAGCAGAAAATAACAAAAGTGACATTTTTAAACCATCACAGTTATTCTCTATCTTTTATTGAGTGTTTGCCATCTTGTAAACATTGTGCTAAGCAATTTATACATGCAGTAAAAGAGGAACGATTATTATCCCTATTTTACGGATAAGAAAATTGAGAATTAGAGCAAACAATCAATGCCAGGAGCCAAATCTAACTTCTGTAGGATTCCAGAGCTGCACTTAACATTAAATTGACTTCCCAATAAGTAGTTAAGCCTTTCATTTTGAGCCATTACTTAGTGAAAAATAGACAAAAACATTTTTTTCTACTAATAGCATCTGATAATGAAACATTTCAAGTATAATTAGATGGAAAAGGAGAACAAAAACATTTCAAACTTCACATTTTCCCAGATTTTTAAGAAGCAAATGTTTATTCTTACCCATGAATTCAATCCCCAAGTGGTCTGCTACACAGAAGTCAGCATGTAAGAAAGGGAAACAGAAAAAGAAATGATGATTAGAAAAAATTCCACATGGAAATCAATGTGTATCAGACTCCCAATTTAAGGGTAAAAAATGTGTCTCAATTTTAACTGCATATTTTTGGGGGAAAGATAATTTACAATTGCTCACAATAAGGGGTGCTCTGAACATGATTGGTATTTCCCCAAAGCCTGAAACTTTAGGTGGAATAATATTGCATCTGTTACCAAGTATGTGAAGTATAAAGTTAGGCCTCAAGAAAGAAAGAAATGTTCACACAAACAATATCTGGTACTAAATTTATTTTTAGAAATCATGGTATTTTATGTAAAACTAGAGGTCCAGTGCAAGAAAATTCATGCACTTGGGGGGGGGGTGTCCCTCAACCCAACCTGCGCCCTCTCACAGTCAGACATCCTTAGCACTGCCAAGGAGGCAGAAAATCCTTAGCACTGCAAAGGAGGCAGGAGAGGCTCCTGCCACTGCCACTGCGCTTGAAACCTTCAGCTCGGCTTGTGGCTGAGCGGAGCTCCCCCTGTGGGAGCGCACTGACCACCAGGGGGCAGCTCCTGCATTAAGTGACTGCCCCCTGGTGGTCAGTGTGCATCAAAGCGACCAGTCATCCTGGTAGTTCCACTATTAGGGTCAATTTGCATATTACCCTTTTATTATTAGAATGACTACTTGTTTAACATATACTTATTGTACTCTCTGCTATAAGTAGAGAACTTTTATATGATTGGCCTCCACCACATGCTGATCACCTTCACAAAAAAGCAATAATGTTGTATTTTTCCCTGTTATTTGTTAGATGAGAAAACTGCACTTCAGCAAGATTAAAAATCTTACATTGGCCCCAAAAGATGAGGTAGATCTAGGGCACAAATCCAGTCGATCTGACCCCCAAGCCCTCTGACTGTTAAGCTCTGCCACTTCCTACCAAAAATGAATGACTATGTACCATGTACATGTGGGCTGCCCACTGTTTTACCAGATAATGTCTGCCTGTGATCAGCAGAGTGATAAACTGAGCCCAGCTATGCCCAGGTGTTCGGCCTTAGATGTCTAATCATCTAGATTAGCAGTTCTCAACCTGTGGGTCATGACCCCTTGGGGGTCAAACGACCCTTTCAAAGAGGTCGCCTAATATCATCAGAAAACACATATATAATTACATATTGTTTTTGTGATTAATAACTATGCTTTAATTATGTTCAATTTGTAACAATAAAATTGGGGGTCACCACAACATGAGGAACTGTATTAAAAGGTTTCAGCATTAGGAAGGTTGAGAACCACTGATCTAGATGGTGCCTCATTTAATCATTCAATTATTCACTCATTCACTTTTTTATTTTATTATTATTATTATTATTATTATTATTATTATTATTTGTCTCCTTAGCCTACTACGCCATGGCTTTGATTCCGTTCACTTCTCTGTCCATCTCTGGCCACTCTCCAGCTGTCTGTCCCCCTCTGGGCCTCAGTCCCTCTCTCAGTCTTCCTCCACCTACCTCTGTTCCTTCCTCCAGGTGTGTCTCTCACTTCTCTGTCTCAGCCTCTCATTTCCCGTATCTCCCCGCAGGCTGCTGCCAGCTCCCTTCCAGGCCCGGAATGCACATCTGCTGAGAAGTCTCCTCCCCAAGAACATCCTCATCTCATTTATCTCTCCCACCGTCGCCACCACCAGCACCATCACCTTGCAGCTGCTGCCCTGGCCTCAGTTTCCCCGGACTCCCTCCTGTCTCAGTAAAGATTGGAGGCTCTTCTCACTGCACAGCCTGGTTACCCTTCCACTCATTCACTTTTTAAATTCATTTCATTAATGATGATTTCTGTTGCAGCAATATGTTACATAAATGAGAATAAATGAAAAAAGTATGGCTACAATTGTATTTGTTTCTAAGACTGATTACTGAGCTCCTTTTTATGAATTCTTTATTTAGCAAAGCAGTTTTCCTTTTTAGAAAATATGTATTTAGTTATCTTGAATAATTCAGTGTGTTTCCTATTTGTAAATAATTCATTTTTAATTTCATTGTGGTAAAATATATATATAGACTAAAAATTGTCATCTTAACCATTTTAAGTGTACAGTTCAGCATCATTAATTGCATTCACAATGTGGGCAAACATCACCACTATATTTCCAAAACTCTTCCATAACCCCAAAGAGAAACTGTACCCACTGAGCAATAATTTTGTATTTTCCCCTTTCTGCAGCCTCTGGTCATTTCTAATCTACTACTCTCTGTCTCTACAAATTTTCCTGTATATAGTTCATTTTTTCATCGATTAGTACCTATTTTAATTGAGAATGACTCATATAAAACAGATGGTAATGGAGTTTTTAAAAAGTAGATATATTACTTTCTTTACATGCCTTTTATTTTGACTGCTTAATATATACTGATAGATATTTAGCACACTTTCATGAAAAGACAAGATTTTTGTTCTCCAGTAATTCAGAAATCAGTGGGAGCTCACAGAGAAAAGGCTTTGGTAATTGTTAGTAACGGTGCTATAGTGCAAAACCAAAAAATGTATATTAGATGGAGGGGCCTAAAGTGCTCTGTGAAAGAATGGAGATTGTAGAAAAGTTGGCAAGCTTATGTTTCAGTTCTAATGTGAATAAGAATCTTCATTCTTTTAAAAAATATTTTAAATTGATTTTTAGAGAGAAAGGAAGGGAGAGGGAGAGATCGAGAAACATGAATGTGAGACAGCAATCGGCTGCCTCCTACACACTACCTCCTGTGGGGATTAAGCCAAAAACCTGGGCATGTGCCCTGACCAGAAATTGAACTGGAAACTTTTCAGTGTCTGGGACTGTGCTCAACCAACTGAGCCACTCAGCCAAGGCAGAAGCTTCATTCTTAATTTTTTGAGGAGCCTCCATACTGTTTTCCATAGTGGCTGTTCAAGTTTACATTCCCATCAGCATGAACGAATAAGGGCTCCCTTTTCTCCACAACCTATCCAACACTTGTTATTACTTGTGTTGCTGATAATAGCTATTCTAACAGGTATGAGGTGATATCTCATTGTAGTTGTGATTTGCATTTCCCTAATAGCTAGTATAGTTGAGCATCGTTTCATGTATCTGTTGGCTATTTGTATATCTTCCTAAGATAGGTATTTGTTCAGGCTCTCTGCCCATTTTTCTTATTGGATTGTTTGTTTAGTGTTGAGTTGTTTGAGTTCTTTATATATTTTGTATATGAATCCCTTGCCAAAGCTGTTGTTTGCAAATATCATCTCCAATTCGATTGGTTGCCTTTTTGTTTTGTTGGCAGTGTTTCTGTTGCTGCGCAGAAGCATTTTAGTTCGATATAGTCCCATTCATTTATTTTTGCCTTTACTTCCCTTGCCTGTGGGAAGATAAAACCATCTCTAAGACCAAGGACCATAAACTTAGTACCTATGTTTTCTCCTATGTAACTTCTTGTTTCAGCTCTTATATTTAGACTAGAGGCCCAGTGCATAAAATTTGTGCAAGGGATGGGAAGGTCCCTCAGCCTGGCCTACACCCTTTTGTAATCTGGGACCCCTCGGGGGATGTCTGATTGCCGGTTTAGGCCCGATCCTGCAGGGAAGGCCCAATCTCGCAGGAATCCCTGCGGGATTGGGCCTAAACTGACAGTCGACATCCCTTTTCACAATCTGGGATTGCTGCCTCCTAACTGCCTGCCTGTCTGATTGTTCCTAACTGCTTGCCTGCCTGCCTGATAGCCCCTAACCATTCACCTGCCTGCCTGATCACCCCTAACTGCCTCTGCCTTGACCCCTGCTACCACGGCTTTGCCCAGAAGGATGTCCAGAATGATGTCCAGAAGGTCGTTTGGCTGTCCAATCTAATTAGCATATTATGCTTTTATTATTATAGATCTTTGATCCATTTTGAATTAATTTTTGTATAAGGGGCAAACAGTAACCTAGTTTCATTCTTTTGCATGTAGCTTTCCAATTTTCCCAGCACCATTTATTGAAGAGGCTTTCTTTTCTCCATTGTATATTTTTTACTTCTTTGTCAAAAAACCATTTGCCCATATACATGTGGTTTTATTTCTGGGCTCTCAGTTCTGTTCCATTGGTCTGTGTCTGTTTTCTGTCAATACTATGTTGTTTTTATTATTGTAGCTCTGTCATATAATTTGAAGTCAGGAGTGTGATAACTCCAACTTCGTTCTTTTTTCTCAGGATTGCTTTGGCTATTCTGGGTTTCTGATTCCATACCAATTTGATGACATAATTTTTTAAAATTTATTTTTAGTGATTATAAAGAGAGACAAAGGAAGAGAGAGAGAGACCACTGTTTGTTTGTTTTTGTTTCACTTATTTATGCATTCATTAGTTGATTCCTATATGTGCCCAGACTGGATCAAAACCACAACCTCGGCATATCAGGATGACACTCTAATCAACTGAGCTACCCAACCAGGGCCAAATCTCATGATATTTTGTTCTATTTCTTTAAAAATGAAAGGCAGTGAGGGGATTAAGCAGAAACACACACACACACACATTTTTTAAATTCAATAAAAACAGCAGAATAAGAAGGACACAAACAGATACTTGTATACCACAGCAGCATTAATTGTAATAGTCAATAAGTGGAGACAACACATATGTCCATCAACTTATGAAAGGAGAAACAAAGTGTGATATTATCCATATAATGGGAAGTGATTTGGCATAAAAATGTATGACATACTGATATTTGCTACATGCATGAACTTTGAAAGCATCATACTGAAAAGCTAGATGCATAAAAGGACACATGTGGTATAGTTCCATTTATATTAAATGTCCAGAAGAAGCAAATTTATAGACAAGGAAAGTAGATTAATGGTTGCCAGCGGGGCACAGGGGTGGCGGAAGGGACAAATGGAGAGGGACTGCTCAGTGGGGCAGGGTTTCTTTTTGGAGTGATGAAAGTGTTCTGGAGTTAGATAATGATGATGGTTGCACAACAATGTGC